ATTTCTTTGTATGTACGGATCACTTGGGTTGTAACCGACATCTGGTGAAAATTTCATGTCATTAGCACCTCTAGTAATATATTTACTGAGAAAAATGGTGACGTGTTCAATACTTATTTTACCCGCTGTATGTGATGTCACTTTTAAGTACTGAACTCACACTGCTGATGGCACAGACAGACATAAGTTATTGATAGAGGATAATCTGTGTAAAGGATGCGGTCTCATCTGTTAAACAGGATGAGTAAATGCGACGAGTCAACTGCAGCACAGGTTTCAGACTAACTGCAGCCTCACAGCTAAAAGGTCCTGGGTTTGAAAGAGTTCTGGCTCTTTCTGTGTGAAGTTTGCATGTTCAAACGTGGGATTTCTCAAGGTACTCTGGTTTCCTCTGACAGCTATAAACCTGAATGTTGGGTCAGCCGAGGTATTTTTCACAAACACTAAGAAAAGCTAAGAAAATGTCAAAACACAAACTATCCAGATGCATGGAGCAGTTTCTACTCATAAATCTAAGAACATTTCCTGTGTTACATCCTGATCAACCTGACTTTTGTCCTCTCTGCGTAATGAAAATCATGTCTACATGTAGGTAGAAATAAAACTGTATGGAACATATTTCAGACTATATGTGTTTGCTGGTGTACCTACTGTAAACACAAGATACTGGTCAAATGCTCTGAAACTAGTTTAACCAGCAGATAGAAACAGGAAGTGACTGACTGGTAATGATTCTGTGAAGACATGGTAGTGTTTGGGGTGCATGACTCGATGCACATGACTGGAATTAATATTAATACAGTTTTCTAAATTTACTCATCAAGAAGCTCCATCCTGCACCGTGCCAACTTGTTTCCATCCAGCTGTTCATTAGAAGGAATGAATCGTGCTTTGAAGCAGGCCACCTCACCGCCATGTTGGTTAGTTGTTTTTGAGCCTTTTACCTGGCTGACATATGGACAGTTGGCTCAGGCTCAGCTGGCACAGACCTGACCAGTCAGCCAGCTCCCTCTGAAACGTCCCTGAAGTTAGACGCGTTAGCTCCATGCGGTCAGCAGCTGGCTGTTCTGGGCAGCGCATGGCTCGTCATTGTGTCACCCTCTAAGACCAGCTGCAGCTTAGAACAGTTCCAACGAAGTCACACAATCCTCTCACACTGTCATTTACAATTATCACAACTTTTCATTATAAGTGTCAGTGTGATGATGAAGAAATAAAGATTTCAGTTTTTACAATGTTTAATAACAAAAAAGCAAACTTGACAATATCTTCCAACAACACGAGAGTTATTCATTTATTTGTTGACATGTTATAAAGACATAAAAACCATCTTTTGTATCGTTCAGGTGGGAGACTCAGGGGGACTTCACCACAACTCACCCTCTGCCTTCAGTCAAAGTGAAGCTCTTCACAGAACGTACTGGTGTCCTGGCTCTGGAGGACAAAGAACTGGGCCGAGTGAGTGTCCCACACACACACACACACACACACACACACACACACACACACACACACACACACACACACGCACGCACGCACGCGCGCGTTTGTTCTCCTATCCTCATGGGGACTTTGCATTGGCTTCCATTCATTTATCGGACATTTATACAGTCTAACCATGACCCCTTACCCTAAACCTAACCACCTCAATACATACCTGACCCTAAACGTAGCCTAAACTCAATTCACTTTGGTCCTAAACCAAACCCATATTTCCACCAAAGGGGGCCAGACTTTTGTACCCACAAGGAACAGTGGGTCATCACCAGGCTGTGTGTACCAAGAAAATGGTCAAAAATTGTCTCCACCAGGTAGCAAAAACATCAACAAACTCACACATCTGCAGATACAAACCCCAGAACTGTGACAATGGGTTTTAGTAAAAACTGAGACAAAGTCTGATTCTTATACTCTGGGGACAAAATGTAGCTGTTATTATGCAGAACAATCATATTTCAAATGATCAAATGAAACACTGCTGTCAACAAATATATTGTAAAGCCTGTAGAGTCTGTTCAAATCAGATTCAAACCCAATTAAAGATCTTATTCAGTACATTATGAAACACCCATCAATAAAAGTTACTTATTTAAAGAAGCCTGCAGATTGTATCAAATCTTCACTTCACACAATCCCTCATCCTGAGCTGCACAGAGGCCACAGTGGAAAGAAATGACTCCACTTTAACAGGAAAAAACCTCCAGCAGAACTAGGCTCAGGATGAGCACTTTATCTGCTTCTGGGTTTAAAAAAGACAACAGCAGACTCAGAAGGACCGGGTCCAGGTACAGGTTCTATGATTAAAAAAACAAAGATGAACACAGGTTAATATAGAGGAGCATAAAGACAGCAGCAGAGTGAGGACATGCTCTCCTCCAGCAGTCTAAGCCTATAGCAGCAGAACTAAGGAATAACTCGGGAAACTGGAGCAGATTTGGGCTCGGTCAAAACTGCCAGGAAGCACCTGTATGTTAAAATATTTATTTTAGTCATAATTCAAGACAGGAAGATGCTAGCTGAATGAAATTTCAATGCCACACATATGGAAGGACAATCTGGTTTGGTCAAAACAGTCGTAACTCGCCTGGAAAAATATGGCCATTTTTTAATAATATTAATTAAATCTGACAGGAGAAATGTGCAGGAAGTCATTAATTTATATTTATATGTTCACAACAAATTTTATTTGAGACATTGTGCATTGTTTTAAACTATAAATAGACAGTCAATAAATTATATTTAGGCTACATGTTCACAATAATTTTACTACTACCACAAAACTTCAAACTCCACCAGTCACAATTAGGACAATCTATGCCCACAGCAAGACCTCCGCCAATCATGGTTGGGGAAGCTACGCTTACAGCAAAACCTCCATTAATCACGACTAAGGACAAACTCCGCTCACAGCAAAACCTCCATTAATCACGACTAAGGACAAACTCCGCCCACAGCAAAACCTCCATCAATCATGTTTTAGTAAAAACACTGCCCACAGAACAATGTGTTCTGCAGAGACCCTACTGGTAAACTTTCAACAACCTTCACTGAGCTGAGTGACACAAGCACCTGGTTGTCATGATTACATTAATTTAAAATACGAGACCAAAGTTTAAACGTTGTGAGCTCAGATACTATAAAAGTGTGAGAGTTTGGGTGTGTTTACTCTGCATGCTGAGGAGAAATCCTTCAGTCTAACAGACACTGTCAGCAAAAGACTGAAATGTCTGTTTTGATGAATAAATATTAAAAGAAGTGAAGTTTGTAGGAACAAGAGTTTGTTTGCACAAAGGTTCAAAGTTTACCATCTTCACACTGTAAGTTAAAAAACCATAAAAGAAGTAAAAGTGTAGTTAAGTCACGTGACTATGTCTCAGCTCAAATCAGAGCTCCTTTTCTCTCTTGTCCTTGACAACAGTTGTTCAGCTGCAGATTGAGATTGTTCTGATTGAGCCTCGTTTTTATCTCTGAGTTTTTATAAAGCTGGGAAATATTTAATGTGAACAGAAAATTTGAGAAACAAAAAAATCTATAGACAAACAATAACAACTATGCTTCAGTGTTCATCTGTCCGCAGCTTTGTTACAAACACATTAAAGATAAATTAAAGGCCCAACATTGATTGATGGAATGCACATCCCTCGCATCATTGCAGACTTTTAGATCATGTTGGAAATGATGGAGGTTATGAAAATAATAATAATTTACTCATCAAAACATGTTTGGGTCTCAGTACAAACACAGCATTTAGCGCAGCTCTGTACATCTTGATGTTGGATATCAATAAACTGTGCTGACCACATGGAATTATTGACTGTGTAGAAGAGTTTCATTAAAACTGATCTAGTGGTTAATGGGATATTTTAATATAAATATAAAAACATGATTGTCCTCCTCCATCTTTTAACAGCAGGTGATAAATATTAAGTACCTGTTGCTTCATCAGGGGTTAGGGTCAAATATTTCCATCAACATAAGTTTTATTGTGTTTTGGTTGGGAGTTGTTGCAGACATTTTAGAGAAAACAGTGTTTCTAACATTCTTGTTAGATTTGAGTTGTGAGTTTGGGATATAATTTTTTTCTAGAGAAACATCAGTTGTTTTTTTTGTCTCCTCTTCAGGTGGTTCTGAATCCCACCACCAACAGTCCGAAGCAGGCAGAGTTCCATCGAATGGTTGTTCCCAGAAACAGTCCAGACACAGATTTGAGAATTAAACTGGCCGTCCGTATGGACAAACCTCCCAACATGAAGCACAGTGGGTGAGTGTGCTGACGGTTGTTTCATCTGACTGTAGAGGACACGAAGGGTTAAAAGTTCACATCAAAGTTCTCTGATCAAACACGAAGATATCTATATATATATATTATTATACACCGTTCACACATTCATCCTTTTTCCACAAAACACACTTGTAAACATGTCATTGTTTACAGCAGCTGAATATGTCTGACTGCACAACACCTTGTTGAACTTTTGCCTTAAACCCTTCTCAAGGCAACAGGTGGTCCAACCTGGCACCTAATGGCCCATGAGTGGAAACTCTTAAAAGGGACCTTAATGGGGACCTATTATGCAAAATTCGCTTTTTAAAGGTTTTTTTTTTCCTCAACTTTGGGTATGTACTTCTTAAAAAACAGTCCTAGGACCAAAAAAACAAAATGCACCCAGGGGCATATTTACTGTAAGTAAATGTATTTTTAATGTATATTAATGACAAGTTTTATACTTCCTACATTTTGTGATGTCATAAGCCGTACGACAACCCACCGGAACCTGTGTTCAGCCCCTCACCTAGCAACCCCCGGGTGAGGCTCCTCCTCCTCAGTATAAAAGCCGTCATGGTTGTTGTGCAATGCACAGCTCATTTCACAACAAGCCTCCAACAGGGTAATGGGTAGAGTGTTGGACCAGAGAGCAGGAGACCAGTGTTTGAGACTGGCACAGACACAATTTAATTATTTATTTTCGTTCGTTATGAACACATTTTCTCCTGTACCTCTACTGTTTAGCTTATTAAAGCCTTGTTAAAGCCTATTTGTTCGAGTTTCTGAGGTATTTTGACCGCTGCTGCTCCCTGCTCTGGTAACAGCATGCAGAGTGAGCGCAGAGCAGAGGAGGGGGAGAAAAAAAGAAGAAGCTGGGACCACGACTCTGCCTCTGGGTCTCATATGGTTGTACAACGGAGCTTCTGCTATTATTAGCCATGCTAACGTAAACGCTGGCTTTGGAGGGCGGAGTTAATGTCAACAGATTTTTGGAGGGCGTTACCAACAGAGCTCATTAACATAAACAGCTCTTCTGAACGGAAGTCAGAGCAGGCAGAACTAGAAAATGAGAAATTTTATTATCTGAGAATTATTTTGTGCATTAAATTGAATGAACATGGTCTGGATAGCCCACAGACATACCATAAACATTTCTAGGACCCATAATTGGTCTCCTTTAATAAATGTGTCACAAAGCCAACAGCTCCACCTGCTGGTTAAAGGAAGATCTAACATTGCTTTCTGGGTCTCAGTTGAGATCATGTTTCAGCCTACTTGATCTAAACTGTTTAAGTCACAATCAAATTTTTCATAATATTAAAACTATTTCTGGAACATTTTCTGCAACATTATGTTATTAGAGACTAAACCGTACTGAGGAACACAGTAATGTGATTGTGAACTTGATTAGTTTCAGTTCTGACTTCTAACCATTTTATTGTGACCAGGAGAAATGATTTTATTATCAGAGAAAGGAGTGTGATTAAATATATAAAAAGCTTGCCATACCCTGTTCCAACCTGAGCACCCAGGAGGTGTTGAGGGAGCTGGGGTGTTCTGTGTGTCATCATGCAGAGGTCAGAACCTGCTCCTGGGTCAGTTTGACTTCTGCTCTGTCAGTACGAAGCTCCATCTGTCCACTGATCCTGTTCTTACAGGTATCCCATCAACTAGGGCTGGACGATATGACCTAAAATCAATATTAWGGTATATTGACCAGTTCACCTCGATAACGATAAATGCACGATAACTCTTACTGCCACCACCCACCACCACACACAAGTACACTGTATAGTCATAACATTATACATTGTGTCCGTGTTCTTAGTCAAAGCACACAGTTTAGTATTCTGTAATGAAGCATTATACAAAAATTTTTTAACTTGCAACATTTGGACCAAAGGGATTTGTAAGGAAGAGTTTGATTTTAAGCAGCTTTTCTGTAGTTTATATTTGTCATTTTAGTGTTTTTAATATATTTAATAAAAAACATTTTTGTGAAGTCTTGAGTCAGATAAAGTCAAAAAATATTTATCCATCCCCATAACTTTTCAGTGCAAACACATTATGTATGTATGTATTATAATTTTAGATAAAAAAAAAATACCAAGTGTGTTTTTTGTACTGCATAAAATTACTTAACTACATTTTTTATTTGTTAAACTAACTGATTTCTGTATTAAAATAATTATTTCTTTCAAAAATAAAATGTTATTTAGATTATTTAAATGTTGTGTCTGTTAATTTTCCATTTATTGCCCAGGCCTACTTTCAGCCATGACCCACGTGACATGAGCGTAATCCACTGCGTGGTGGTGGGGTGACGTATTTACGTCATGAAATTAGCATATCATGATATAATTTATTTTCCAGGGCAAGTTTTTTTTAAACCGGTAATATGGTGAATGATATGATATGGCTCAGCCCTACCATCAACCTGAAGCAAGATTCAGATGTCCTCCTGGTTCTGCCTGGTGCAGCATAGAAAGTAAAGACAGATAACTTAGGAATGCTTATCACCTGCTGCCTCATTCCAAAGTTTTACTGGGTGTAGTACTTCAGTTATGATGTGTAATATTGGTACTGGGTGTAGGAGTACTTCAGTTATGATGTGTAATATTGGTACTGGGTGTAGGAGTACTTCAGTTATGATGTGTAATACTTGTGTTGCCAGCAGGTGGCAGCAAATTCTATCTTTCTAACAGATCAACCTGACATTTCTTTTCAATGAACTTATTTTTCTTTGGGATTTTGTTTCCTGAAGGTTTTTTTTATTCAGGTTTCTTCAAATTTTTACTTTCACTGCCATGTTACTTGTTCCCTAAATTATATATTATTTTCACAAGTGTCACCAAACAGTGTAAAATTAGACAAAGCAGAGTTAAAGCAGTGAATGAAGGATGATCAGATTACAGGTTTTCTGTCTAACTTCTCAGTCAGCTCCTTCTCAAAGACTCCTGAGTGAGCAGACCTAGTTTGTCCTCCAGGGGTCAGACTTTGTCTCTGTTTGGGTCCTGTTTGCATTTTCACCCTTGAGGCTTATTCTGATGGTTTGTTCTATAGAAAAAGGTAAAAATGCAGCTCTTACATACTTAAACGTTTGAAATGTTTTTATTTGGATAATATAAAAGATTATTAAATCCTTCTCTTTGTATTTGAGACTTTGTTTTGTTCAGCGGGTCGACGGGTCAGAACATGTCTGTTCTGGGTCAATCAGGGGGCAACGCTGTGGAAAATAAAGTTACACAAACAAACAGTTTAGATCATATTTCATTATTTAACACGACACCTGCGATGTTTTGTGTTTTTAGCCAATAATCATTGAAGGATTTATTTTTATTAATGATTTATTTCAGTCAAAAACGCTGTCATCTAAAATATTTTTGTTTCCTGGAATAGCTTCTGTCAGTGTTTGACATGTTTTTAGATTTTTGAATCTGTCACATATTTGTTTGTATTTAAATTAAAAAAGAAAAAAAACTGAGCTACAGTCTTTGCTTCAGTATAAATTCATCATCAACAATGTTTGATAATAAAAACTGCAGAACGAGTTGCTGTGAAGTCTCACTGAACTCATTCAGTTAAAGCAGGACATTTTATTTTATTTATCTGTAGAATCTAGTGTGCAGGCAATCTGGTTTAAAATAATACTGTATAAAGTGAGAACACTTCAAAATCAAAAATCATTTAACTAAAGGTCCAGATGTGAAGAGCCTCATTTCACTAATAAAGAATACATTTATATCTGTAACTAAAATGGTCTAATTTTAAAAATAAAATAAATAAACTGTGGTTTCAGGTAAAGTGCTATCTGCTCCCAGAAGAAAGAAATGCTCAATAAGATGGGATAAAATTGAAATGACATAAATTAAAAATAAGAAAATAAAATGAAACAACAAATATTAAGGTTAGAGAAATTTGATAAAATAAAGCATTTAAAATAAAATTAAAATAATGAAAAAAATAAGACAAATCAACGAAAATAAAAATTAGACTAGATAAAAAAATATGGTTATATAAGATGAGCCTCAAAATAAGGTGAGTTAAGGCAAAACAAAACGGGACAAAATGAGATAGAATGAGTTGAAACAAGACAAATAAACCTACGATCTCATGAGACAAAATAAAACAAGATCTGATATAAGCAAAAAAAAAAAACTACAATAAGACAAAGATCAGATACAAACACAACATATAAAAAGTCAAAATAATTTATTAGGTAAGAGAAGAAAAATAAACCTTTTTTGATCTGATATATTTCACATTGCAACATCACCAAGACAAGAAAAAGAAAATTAAAACAGGAAATATAACAAATAAGACAATAAATCAAATAAACTGTTTTAGGTAAGTGTTGCCAACAAACATCCATATTTTTTCAGAGGAATTAGAGATAAAGACTTTATTTAAAATTATTAGTTTTAATAAAATGAATCCAGTATCTCAGCACTGTGAGTAGTTTTTGTGATTAAACGATGGTTTGATATTTCTGCAGCAGGATGCGTCACGGGGCTGCGCACAGCTCTGCGTTGTTGTGCCGTTACAGGATGGAGGACGAGGCGATGAATAATAATCCCAAGTGCTCGGCGAGTGCTGCCACATGTTAACCCAGAGTTGGGCAAAGTGGCCCCGATTCTGGGTCCAGACGCGCAGCAGCCTTGACTTCAGGCCTTTTCTTTAAAGCCAGGCAGCGGGGCTGAAGAAAGAGGTCCTGCCATCCATTGATTTTCTTCACTTGCACTTGGCTGTATCCCACGCTTCAGGAGGCCCGGGAGCCGCCATTGATTGAGGAGCCACGCTGATGATTCTTCCATTTTCCTTCTTTCTCAGAGTCACAGCCTTTTTCAGCTCATTACTGCCTTTAGTTTCACATGAGAGAGAAAACTTTCACACAGCTGTTGGATTAAATATATATTTTATGTGAAGTAGAAACACACACTTTAACAGTTAAACATTATTTTTCTTTGTAAATTACCTTTTATGTAAAAGAATGACAATAGTCACGCTTGAAGTGGCAACAAAGCAAAACATCTTTAATTAAGTCCCACATTAAATAGATTTATTAGGAAGTTTAACTCATTTAGTTTAAGTTGTCAAAATTATGTTAAACTCTTTATTTTGTAACTTTAACCTACAATTTCTCATTTTTCCAGGAAATTTAAAGCTTTTTATTTGATCAACTGCAAACAAATAACACATCGGTTGCATGAAGTTAAAGCGTGAATCAAATTATCTCCACTGAATGTCCTTTTTACGTGTGCAAACAAATTATTTTAAACAAATTCATTTTGTGGAAACAAATAAATTTAAAGGAATGTTTTACAAGCTAGAAGAAAAATAAATCATTTGAATATCTCAGGAAATAAACATAAATTCTATAACTTCTTTGACTTTCCACAAATAATTACAGTAAAAAATTCAATAAATATCACCTATAGAATATTCAGACATGATAATCATATTTCTGAAGCTTTTTGAAGTAAAACAGCCAACAGAATGACTCAGACTTACGAATTACTGTCACAATTTAACTAGTGAAAACTAAAATGTGACTTGAAAATTGGAATACAGCCTAATTTGTTCACGTTTAAACAAAAGTTTATTTTTGTTTTTTATATTTTTAAAATGTTAGACCTCATAAGTATTTAAAATACATGCAGCTTTTCTAATATATATCTAATATATGTCAATGCACTTGACAAACTTTCATTTTTTTTACCCAATACACGATTCTGTTTTTAGTTGCTTTTGATTTTGCATGAAGTCGAATTAACTGAGGTGAACACTTTGGTTTTTATTGTATTTTATAATTTGATTCCACTTTTTTCACAGATTAAAATTCAGATTGAATGAAAAAAGACAGTATGTTTTCTAAAACATATCCTACTCACAAGGATGGTTTGTGTTTCTGTTGCTATTTCTGGGAGTGTTTCAAGAGAAAAAAAAACAGATTAGACTTTTTTTTTACTTGTTTACCTTACCTGTACCAATATGTGACCCCCATATCAAGGTACACACCAAACCTTAAGCCACATACAAAGACATGTACCAAATATTTACTCCCAAACCAAGGAACGCACCTAACCTTGACTCCCATATCAATGTACATACCAAACCTTGACTCCAAAACCAAGGTATGTACCAAACTTTGACCCCCATACATATTTGCACCAAACCATGACTGTTATACCAAGGTTCATACCAAAACTCTACCCTCAAATCAAGGTGCATACCAAAGCTTGACCCACATTCCAAGATGAATATCAAACCATGACCCCCATACCAAGGTACACACCAAACTTTGACCCACATACCAAGATGCTTACCAAAACTTGACCCATAAACCAAGGAACGTACCAAGCCTTGACCCACATACCAAGGTGCATACCAAAACTTGACCCCCATACCAAGAAAGATTCTGAACCAGGACCCTTATGCCAAAAGTAGCACCAAACCATCACCTTGATATCAAGGTACACTATGTGCCATTAAGACATAGAAGTGACAGAAGAATGAAATACATGTTGTCTTAAGAGGCTCATAAATCTGAGCATCACCTGCGTAACAATGAAATGAATCATTATGTTTTCTTCTTATGAAATCAAGTAGAAGGCGGTACAGTGAAAAGGCAATGGTCTAAAACTGAGCCTTGTGACGTGCCATACAAAAAAAGGTGCAGAAGAGGATTCTGATCTTTGTCTGTGTAATATTTATTTACATTTGTCTTTAAGTCATTTTGGTGTTTTTGTGTTTCAGGTTCCTTTATGCCTCAGGACAAAGACTACGGAAACGCTGGAAAAAAAGATATTTTGTTCTTGTGCAGGTATGATGCACTGAGATATAAATGAGAGGACTTTATAAACCTGTGTTTGATTTGAAAGTTGTTTTTAAGATCAAAGACTGATGTGCAGCTGACAGTTATTGTATAATATTTTCTTGAACCGACTGTTTTCACAGAAACATCAGTGAGTCAGATCTGTTTCAAACTTTCTATTTGCGTCTTTCCTTTTCTAGGGTTTTGCCAGTTTTTTTGAAAGAATGTATGTCAACCCTCTACTTTTCATTTGAGTTTTAGACAACCATCATTTTGAATTAAGGAATAATGGGTATATTAAGAATAAAAAGTAGTGTTTCTTTAAGAAATACATATTGCCCACCATCTTTTGTGTAGTCAGTTAGCTGAGGTAGCCATCTTGTCTTGGATGGACTTCAAAAGTTAACCACTTGTTGATGTACAAACTGATTACTTTCTGAAGGTTTCATTGTGGTCCATTCACTGGATTATTTTGCTAACAAATACACGTCATCCAACCTGTCAATGTGGTAGATGAAAATAATAACTGTGTTTTGTGTTGAAGTTGTGTTCCTGCTGCAGTGTTCATGTTGTGAATCTGATTAGTTTTTGTCTGCCCTGCAGGTTAGTCAGTACACGTTTGCCATGTGCAGCTACAGAGAGAAGAAAGCTGAGCCCCAGGAGCTGATGCAGCTGGAGGGTTACACCGTGGACTACTGTGACCCTCAGCCAGGTACAGATTCACCCTCTACAAATTGTAGTTCTGTCTGGAAAAGTGCACTCAAACTGGAATTATTGTAGCTGGACATAGAAACATTTTTAAGTTTGATTACATCCTTGCACAGTCTTGGTATTCTCTGGAACTCCTCCAAAACTGTTGGAAAACCATTCCAGGTGATTACAGAACCTCATGAAGCTGATTGAGGGAATAGCAGGTGTGTGCACAGCTGTAATAAAAGCAAAAGGTGCCCACTTTGGATAATCTAAACTCTTTAAAATAAATGTATTTTTTATGTTTTTCGAAGAGAAACAGCCAACTATAGACTCTAATCTACTCTGGAAACTTTTGAGAAAATGTGCCTATGTTGCAACTGAATGTTTTTACACGTTAGTAGATTTTAACCAGCTTTAAACTACACATTATGCAGCTAAATTGACACACAGAATAATCTCATTTTCATAGAGTCTTTATGGTCTTTGTCAGCATGACTCACAGAGAGATGTTTTGGTCACAGTCATGAAAGTTGGAATTGGAGGAAAAATGACTCAGGCTTAATGCTTTACTGTAAGTTTTTGAACTTTAGTTCTCTTCTGTTTAAAGTTGGTTTTCCTCTTTAGACCAACTCAAAAACCGTCTGTCCAGCTTGGAATTCTTTGCATTTACCATGTTTTAGAAAACACCAACATTTTTACAGCACAGTTTGTAAAACTTCCAGACATAATGTTTGTTGCTTTGTCTGTTTGTTCCTCATACTGACTGTTTCACTTTGGTGTTATCTCTTCTTCTTCTTCCTCTTCTTTCCAAACGTAGGTCTTCAGGGCGGATGTGTATTTTTTAATGCCGTGAAGGAAGGCGACCTGGTAATATTTGCCTGTGATGATGAGCAGGACCGAGTTCTGTGGGTTCAAGCTATGTACCGAGCCACCGGTCAGTCCTATAAACCCGTCCCTCCACAACTAAACAGAACCACAAATCGCAAAGAGGGAAACCCCAAACCACCGACCCCCATCAGTAAGTTCCAGTTGTCAGTTTAGTTTTGATTGTTTCACCAGAAATAAAGAATCTGGTTAGTCTAATCAAACAGTAAGAACATTTTCAGACTAGATAATTAAATACTTCAAATAATAATTGTGAATGCTTTTAGTTTTTCTGTTTACATCAAGGTTTTAAGATTCTACTCTATGGGAAGAATCTTGTGCCAGCAGGAACTGAATTTGAGTTTCTCAGATTGAATCTGAATGTGCATAATTTGAAATTGAATGCATTGGTTTGAAAATGAATTTCTCTAAATGGAAACTGAATTTAATGGTTTGAATCTGAATTTAATTTTTATGATTTGAATTAATTTGCTTTGAAATTGTATTTTGTTCAATTAAAATTTCAGTTTGTCTACTTTCACTTTCAGTTCCATAATTCAATTTCAGTTCTAAAATTCAGATTTTTATGCCACACGTCCTGGTCCTTGAGAAAGCCAGCCAGAGTAATCAAACACAGATCAACAGATTTACGTTTCACGTCAGTGAAGCTTCCTTCTATAATGTAACAGAGTTGATGCAATCCATCGTAAAAGTGACAAAAAACAATTATTTTATAGCAGTGATTAATTTTGCCTATAGATAATGTTACATTTACGTTTCACATCATGGATGTGAAACGTAAATCTGTTGATCTGTGTTTGATTACTCTGGCTGGCTTTCTCAAGGACCAGGATGTGCAGCACAAAAATCTGAATTTTAGAACTGAAATTGAATTATGGAACTGAAAGTGAAAGTAGACCAACTGAATACTTAATTGAACAAAATACAGTTTCAAAGCAAATTAATGGGGTGTAGGGTGCGCAGCGCCGTGGCTTCTGAATAAATKAAAATGATTTAACACAGTTGTTTATACTTTTAGCAGCTCTTTTTATTCCACAGCTGAGCTGCTAAAACTGACAGATTTTCTTTTCTGGATCTCTGACAGACGGACTTCAATCTCTGAACTCGTAAAGTTCTTCTTTTTAGTTTTCACTGTCATTTTTCATGAATGGACACTTCCTTGTATCTGAGGCAGGAAACATAGCCTTATATGGTGTTTTTGGGGTGGAAATTATGCTAATCTCCTCTCGCGTGCACGAGCAGCTGGATAGAACAGGTGTAATTTACACAGCTCATTTACACACTTTTCCTGAAGATAGAAGCGTTTGTTGAATCTGACGTGACATGTTCGTACGAACCCTTTGTACGAACAAAAGTAAGAGAAATTTAGGATAAGAATACGAACATGTTCTTGCATGAGGCCCATTGTTGGGTGCCTCTGCTCCTCTGGATCCATTAGGTAATTCAGAGGAGTTCTGAGTTTGGCGAGGTTCACCACTCCAGGAGCTGTGCGCTAATGAGGGTCCCTTTCAGCACTATTTATGTCCCAAGCCCAGTTTGATGAGCTGCTGACCCATATCGGTGCCCGCATCTCCTGCCAGGACACCACCTGCATGATGGATCAGTGGTTAGCACTGTCGCCTCACAGCAAGAAGGTCCTGAGTTCGATCCCCGGTTCAGACCTGGGGTCTTTCAATGCAGAGTTTGCATGTTCTCCTCATGCTCGTGTGGGTTTTCTCTGGGTTTTCTGGTTTCCCCTGTAGGTCGCCCTTGAAAAAGAGGTTTGCCATTTCAATTGGGATTTGCCTGGTAAGAAAAAAAACAAAGTACAGGTGCTGGATTTCAGCTGAAGGGTGGCTGTCCATCTGTCTAAGGTTAGTGGGCACCATTCAGGAGACTCCCTGGGGTCTTGGTTCTTTCGTCTCGTTGGAAAATGTACTGCTACATCGCAGAGTCTCTCTGATTGCTGGACGCTCCGCGACACCGTCGAGCACTCTGCCACTTTGGACACGCTAAACCTACGTCAAACACAAAATCTGAAAACACACAGGAAACTGAAAACTTCTTGACGTGCATCCATGCTGCATGCAAGCCAGACGCTCCTGACCATCGACTCATGTTCGGTCTGAACGCAGCATTAGATCTCCTGCAGGACTGAATACAAGCAACATGCAAGTCTTGTATATGCTTATAAATGTTGTATATATGTTTTAAACGTGTCAGGTTTTAAGTTAAGCTCAACCTGGTCCAGAGCAAGTTAGTTTCCAGTGCCATGGTTACAGAGCCAAGTAAGAAGTGAAGCAAATGCTGAACATCCTGAGCTGAAGGAGCCACTGATCTTACTTTGTGTCCAAGAACTCTGCTTGTCAACACACAATCAAAGAAGATACAAGTTTCATTTATTCATTTTTCTTCATACCTCATTTCCATTCTGTTCATTATTTCTCTTTGTTCCTCTCAGTCCTTGTATTTCCTCACATTTATAGCTGTTTTTATTTATTTTTTTCATTCCTGGTCAAATTCTTTGCAGCACAACCTTAAGTGTGTCATGCAGAATCAATTATGTTGTTCTCTCCCTCCTCTATTTGTTCCCTCTTCCTCACACATGTGCATCATTTGCAAATTATTTCAGTCATTATTTCTGTGTGGAAGATTTGACTGAACTCTCACCTCCTGCCGGGCCGGGCATGGTAAAATGGAAGCGTGGCAGTGAGAGCTGATTATTGCTCTATTTGTGTAATTTAGTGTGATAGTGTACTGTTCTCACCGCCGCTCGTTAGCTTTTAATGGAACGGTTTGAAGTGTCTGCGGTGAGAGGTGCTGCCACTCTGTTTGCTGCAGGAAATAGAAGGTGTCCCTGAAATACCTCTTAACTGGGTGCTGAGAGCTGCTCTTTGTGTGTGTGTGTGTGTGTGTGTGTGTGTGTGTGTGTGTGTGTGTGTGTGTGTGTGTGTGTGTGTGT